GACATCTGGTGAAAATTTCATGTCATTAGCACCTCTAGTAATATATTTACTGAGAAAAATGGTGACGTGTTCAATACTTATTTTACCGGCTGTATCAGCACCGATGTGGGTCAGCAGCTCGTTAAACTGACCACTGTGTTAAACTGGGCTCAGGACAGAAAAATATTTTGTCAGCTCKCAGCGCCTGGAGTGGCGAAACCCACTGAACAGACCGCCTCTAAATTATCTGGTAAATTAATTATCTGGTGTGCACAACGTTTGCTTGCTTTCAATAAAYAAAGCAAAGCCATTTTCTTAATTTCATCTTTATTTCATCCGTCATTGAAGACAGACTGGAAAAACTAAGACGCTCCTCCCTCTTCAGACTCGCATCTAGTCTGTGAGTCCTGGTATGAACTTAACGCGTCCAACTTGAGGCGTTGGGCACATTTTTTGCTGCTCAAAATGCATTTAGTGTGAACCTTTTAGTATCGATCCAATTCCAAGTAACTGCAAAGTTAATATTGCTGATTCCGATACACCTTTGTCATGCTGTGGAATAATTTTGTGATTTAAACTCTAGTTGGTCAATAATGACAAACCACAGGACAAGGATTTTAGGCAGATACAAATCTTTTGAAATAACTAGCTACAACATAATTAAATGATGTGCAAAATAACAAAATTGCAACAAAAATATTTATGTAGCAATGCCAATAAGAACAACAAATAGCTTGCATTGCATGCAGGCAGTTTGAAGAAGACTAACTCCAAATACACTGAAGACTCTGCACTAACTTTATTTGTGAAAAATAAAGCCAGTRGTGTAAATAAAGTGTAAACAAAAGAATCATTCTCATCATGCTRGTATGGATCTGATGCTGATGCTAATGTTGATGCCGCTAGTACTGATATCAATAAACCCACCACTAATATGCCATGCTCTTTGACTGATGTCCGGCTATACCTGTTTGACAGAATATCACTTCAAAATTACTGGATTATTCTCTTAAATACAAAACAGCAGAAGATTGTCTCCAATCCCACTCACTCAGAACACATAGTTTGGGTAAAAAAAAAACAACAACAATAATTTAAAAACAACACAACATTTCATAATTTTCTCTCTGGCAACCCAGCTCAAACAAAACTTGAAGTGTTTTATGAAAGCTCCTATTA